CCCTTAACAACATTGTCAAGGGTGATTATGGAGAATGCAACCATATTGTTTATATATGAGCGGTGAGGGAAGCTGTCAACTTGATAAAGGAGTCCAATTGGGCTTTCTTGGCCTGTGGGACTCTGGAAGCAGCTGATATATACCTGCAGTCAAAGTGGCAGGCAGCTCTGCTGGTCGCTGAGGCAAAAACTTGTGCGTGGGAATAGTTTGAAGAGGCAGACTTCCGTACGGCTTTGAGGATATTCTGGTCCACTATCTGGCGTCTCAGAAAGGGAAAGCAGTGCAGTACCAACAGGTTATTGTGGTAACTGCGTGCTGCTGACCTCAACTTGAGACCTAGTATGGCGGTGGGCGGAATGATTCAAAGACCTCTTTAATGCCACCAAAACGTCTTACATTAAGGAAGCAGAGCCTGGAGTTCTTACATTTCTGGTGCTGAGATCACCCAGGTGGTCAAAAAGCTCCTTGTTGGCAAGGCTCCAGGGGTGGATAAGAATTTTTCTGAGTGTCCCTTGTGGGGTTTCCTGTGGGGGGGCGTACTCCTGGAGTATGGAGTACTGGGCCCTCTAAAAAGGGCTGTTAGGTCTCTTTATCACCAAAATCAGAGCTTGGTCCGCTGTAAGTAAGACTTGTTTTAGGTGACAGTTTATAACTTCTATAGACAGAATTTCTAGGTGCATCCAAGGTGTGGAGGAGAGCTGCTACCCCTGCGACCCTACCTCGGATAAGCATAAGATGGATGGATGGAGGGAGGGATGGATAATGGATAGACGGATGGACGGGCCGACGTTTATATATTATGCAGAAACAGAATCAAGCATATTTAAAAAGAGGTACCAGATTGATGTAATCAAGAGCGGAACTCTTTAACATTTTTAAATTAAACAGGACAATAACACCTTTGATACCCCAAAAAAGGCCCAATTATTTTACTTTTATCTTTGGAACATAATGTACTTGTTCTAATCAACCTAATATCTGTGGAAAAGGTTAAATGTCATGTTAGCGTCTCTCTGCAAGCAAATGACAGAACAAAATTTTAAGGAGGTAGACAGAATGCTGGGAACTAATTCAAAAACAAAAAAAATATACATTGCATTGTCTTGAAGGGGAATTTCTATTAATTACTGATTAAAATACTATTTTTCAGAAAGGAAAGCATTACCTTAGGCGTCGCTTGACAGTTTGTACAGAGACATTCATAGCAGCCGCCATTTGTGATGCTGTGAATCCACAGGATCTTAAAAAGTTCCTCTCTTCCCTGGTGATACTGTAGCTTGGTCGACCCCTGGATCCACTAGTGACTACTGGAGCCTCAAAGCCATAGCTGTCTGTAGGAAAATATCCAGAAAATGCAGTGTTTTTAGGTACGGGGACAGTATATATTTATTAATTTATTTTAATTTATTCATTTTTTAATTTGCTTCTTGATTTATTTATTTATTGCCCTTTAAAAAGAAAAAGACAAAAAGGCAGTGAATACAAAAAGGAGGGTGTAGTGTAAAACCTCAATTGTGGTATTAAATATTAGTCATATGTAGAACCAATTTTGGAGTCACAAACGGGGGGCAATGATTACCTTGTTGAGCCGATTGAGATGAGGTTCTGATAAGTTCCATTAGTTCTGCCAAGTCTGTCAAAGTACGATCAGCGGATGTCTCGTTAATACATCTCCCCGGGGCCCACTGTAGGCTTCTCTGTACTGCCTCAAGCCTACCAAAATGAAAAAAAATAAATAAAAAAAATAGTTTTTGGTCCTATGTGCTAAGCCAGAGGTCTTCAACAGGGGGTCCGCGACCCCTAGGGGGTCCGCGGAGGTACTGCATGGGGGTCGCGAAAGTCTTGGTTGACTACTTTTTTTATATTCCTTCCTGCAATTTTTTACACTAATTGAAATGTCTTTAAATCCACATTAACATGAATTCAACACACTGTAGTAAACAGATAAATGGAGGTAGAAGATGTATTTCAGTCATCAATGCACACATTCAGAGACACACAGGAGCTCTTTCAAACCTGGGCACCGTTTAATTCACAACACCTGTCCCATCGACCAGGAACCAGAAATACTTTAATAATCCCAGGGAGAAATTACTTTAGTTACATGACTCCATATGTAATAGAGTGACTATAGGACCAGTTTGATATAACACAATTTCATACAATATATATAATTGGGGGTCCCCGCTCCATCTCGCCAGTTTGGGGTCCTTGCTCTGAAAAAAGGTTGAAGACCCCTGTGCTAAGCAGTAAGACAAATCTTCACCTAGTCTCTTGATATAGCAGCGTTGACCATTATAATTGCTCATTTCAATATCTTGAGATTAACAATAAGCAAAGCAAAAAGGCAGTGTAGGATTACCTGAGCATCACCATATTGCGCACTTCGGGTCCGTTGTTCATTTCCACACGCCTTATGCAGTCATTGAAGACGTTCTTGCAACCAAGGGCGTAGGTTTGATTTCAGCTTTGGTAGGGAGAAATCAAACCTACACTTTTTTATGCTTAATGTAAACATCAGGGCACATTTTTTCTTGCTACATTAATACAAATCTTATAAGATCTACACACACTAGATGCTGTTTATCAATGTTTAAAGCATCACAGGTTCTGACGAATGGACTTTTTTCCACTTTGAAAAGGTTTGCATTTAAACTTACCAGTGACTAAGACAGTGTCTAAATAACCAAATATTGTCTAAATATGTCTGTTATATGTGGATTTATCTTTTGTTTTCTTTGAAGATATAGAATTTTGCAGAGGTAAACCCCACTCTTATTTTTTTTTTTTGTCTAATATGCTCTCTCTGTAACATGCAAAAAAATACATTCAAGGGACAGCAAAATAAATGTATTGTATTTACATGAGCACTGGAACTATAAGATGAACTGACACTGAGCATTTAAAATATTAACTTCACTTTACAAGTTGTACATCTGGGCTGTGTACCCAATTTCATATATTTTATCTAGGGCTTTAGCCGACAGAGCGACCCACTTAGAGCAGGAATTATACCAAGATTGTAAAAAAATATGTTAACATTTTGCATTTAAGACAAAACAAAGATTTTGTCTGTCAATGTTCTCCATCCAGAACTCCTCAAGAGGAAACGTTTGTTTCACCTGCTTTAATTCAGTAAAAGATCTTCTTTAAGCAACCTTTGTCTATCTGATTATTAATCGATTCATCGAAAACAATAATTAACGGATTAATTAATTTGCAGAATAATCATTAGTTGCAGCCCTAATTTTATGGTAACATTCCAAACACATTTCTTCCATAATGCAGCACTGAAGTGCAGCTGCTTCACCCTGAGGCTGCCCTGCAGCATTATATCTGGATTTCCTACAATCATATAATGTTTCTATTATAAAAGTGCATTTTTGATAATAAAGGATTAAATGTAACAAAACCTTTCATCATCATCCTATATTAATACTGTCTGACTGTTTAAATTGCTCCTTATGTCTATTTTCTTTTTTAGTGGCATCATCTACAAAGCACAACACTAAGAATAAGCCTAAGTTTATTCAAATATAAAATCACTTTTAACAATTATAAAAGACAATATAACACTATCTAATCTGTAATGTAATAACATCCAAAATAAACAGCCAGATTCAAGTTTCATGTTTGTACTAATTACTTATGGACTCTGTGGAAATCTAGAAATATAGAATCAGTGTAAATAGAGTTCCTCTGTTTGTATTTATCATATTTCAAGTAGAAGTCAATTAAATAGAAGTATTTTTATGTGGAAAACAAAAAAAATAACAGATCTTTAGCATCCTTCTCATGCTGTTATATTCTACAAAAGAAATAACACCTGTTATTTATACCTGAACTGCCATCAAAAATGAAAACATTAATAGAAAAGAAATATTGGTGAAAGGGAATCAGAATGTTGATAGTTAACAGTCTTTGTTCATTTTAACAGCAGTTCACATACAATTATTGGTAGGGACAAATGCGTCGGTCCAACATTTTGGTAGGGACATGTCCCTATGTTCCCTATGCAAACCTACGCCCATGCTTGCAACGCAAAATAAAATCTGTTTGAGACATAGTTCTTCTAGCGTTGCAGTGAGAAGTAGTTTTTATAACTTGCCAAAGTGTATCGGCAGAGTAACTACCGCATTGGTCCAGAATCCTTTACTAAAAGGAATAAATGTGCAGTGCGCACGCACCAAGAACTTGGTAAAATATGTTATTGCGCTGCATTAACCCTATAAAGCCCGATCCAAGAATAAAACAAAACAGAAAATTACTTTTTTTTTTGTTTGAATTCATTATTTGCCCTTTTAACAAAATATGTAAAAAGAAGAAACAGAAATACATTTTTGATATTAACAATTTATTACTATGCGATAAGTCAAGATTATTTTTTGTGTAGTCTTCTACTGGCTGTTATCAGGTATATCTGATTGTGTACAATAGGATTTTGAGCAAAGTTTTTACCATTAAATTATGCAAAAGGTGCCAGATGCAAAACATTTCAGAAACCGTATGTATCAAATATGATACATTTGGCATTATAGGGTTAAGTAGATCCGTTTGCTATTTAACCCATTACCTCCCGCCAACACCTACCTTTCAAATTATGGCGGATTTCAGGAGAAGGTTGAGTGACATAAGAGATCGTGTTAATGCTAATTTTGATCGCATTTTAAACGAAGAAGGCCTTTTGTTGTTAATTGTGTTTAAAGTTTGTTTATAAATATTTTTAAACAACGCGCTCTCGCTTAAAACTAACTTTATAAAACTAATACACTTAAGACATGAGAGTGATTATAACTTAAATAGTCACTTGTAGAACCTTGGATTTCTTGGTTTACTTATTACAAAAATGGTCCACAAACATTAAAAATACCGTTCCTGTTAATAAAAATGAACTAAATAATTTAAATTTCATTATGACAGACTCCAAAGTTTGAGGGAAGAACCCACAAATAGAAGAATCCAGAGGAGGACTCTTGTGCGGCAAAAAACATTCAAAGTGGCTGTAATTCTCCCAGGTACGACAGGCACAAGTGGCTTTCTCTACCGATGGATTTATTGAATCTTGCTTGTTCAGACTCATAAACCACACCGTGAAAACTAAAAGGCACAAACAATACAATAATTAGCTTACAAAAAATAAAGACAATTAACAAATATGACGACTGCCACAAATAAACAGACTTAATACCTCGTTGGCTGAGTACCAGAATAGAGTGGAATTATTCTTGGGTTTCTTCTTTCTTGCTTTACTTAAACTTTGTGACCGACCCTGTGACCGACACATGCATCAGCTCTCTCTGGAAATCGCTTCTTCTTAGAAAACTAATCTCTAATCTGCATACAAAGCCCCTCCATGCGCCCCCTGGTGGCGCATATCCACAACAGCAATGAAATACACACAAAACAGGCATAAATGAAAAAGTGGCAGCAACACTCCCACGAATCTAACAATTCCTCAGGTGGGATTTCTTACATTCAGAATACTCAGCATGAACAAAAACAAAATCTTTAGTCTGCTTCTAGCAAAACAATAACCTTATGTATAGGGCGTTCTAATGAAAGTGTTTTAGTCACATGTTTACCGTGTTTGTCATAAGTCTTTTCACTAACCAAAAGTCTAACCTTTCTCACTTTGTCATCGGTTCCAGGATAGACATCTGTGACTTTGGCCAGCTTCCATTCATTGCGTGGTGCCGCGTCTTCTTGCAGAAGCACTATATCATTAATCTTAAGATCCCTTCTGTGTGCATTCCACTTTTGTCTTGGTTGCAAGTTGAGCAAATATTCTTTCCTCCAACGGATCCAAAACTCGTTGGCCAAATATTGCACTCTTCTCCATCTTTTTTGAAGATACAAATCTTCTTTCATGAAATCTCCTGGTGGAGGTTGGATAATGGTCGACTTCATCGTGAGAATATGGTTAGGTGTTAATGGTTCAGGGCCTGTTGGATCACTCAAATGCTCGATGGTGAGTGGCCTACTGTTGATAATCGCCATAACCTCATACAAAAAGGTTCTCAAAGATGTACTGTCAAGTCTCTTGGCTGACTGGTCAAGGATGGCTGAAAGAACACTACGGATGGTTCTTATCTGTCTCTCCCATACTCCACCCATATGGCTTGCTGAAGGGGGATTCATAAGAAACTCACATACAAGTGCCTTCACTTTCTCCTGATTCATGTCTTTCATGAGATCAGCAAGCTCTCTCTGAGCACCAACGAAATTGGTGCCTCTGCCACATCTTAGCTGGCGCACATTCCCTCTTATTGTGATAAACGCACGTATTGCATTCAGGAATGCGTCTGTACTCAGGTCATCTACAACTTCAATATGAATGGCTCGTGAACATAAGCAAGTTAGTATCAGTCCATATCTTTTGAGCTCCTTACGGCCGTCCTTGAAATATATCAGTCCAAAACAATCCATTCTGACATAAGTGAAAGGTGGTGTAGGCTCAGTTCGATCAGCTGGCAAATCTCCCATACTTTGAGTCTCTGTCCTCCTTCTGTATTTGCGACATTTGACACAGTTGAAGATGTATGATGAGACTGCACGGCTATTTCCTAGAATCCACCAACCGTTGGCACGCAGCTCATTCAGAGTCATTCCACGACCTTGATGCTGAACCTTCAAGTGGAAATGTCTGATGAGCAAAGTTGAAACATGACTGTCCTTGGGAAGTATGGCTGGATGCTTTACATGTGAGTGCAGCACAGCTTGACTCAAACGTCCACCAACTCTAAGGACTCCGTCTTCGTCCAGAAATGGACTTAGTTTGTAAAGATGATGGTTTTTGGTCTTGGAAACTGGTTTATTTGATTTTAGACTCTTTATCTCTTCTGCAAAAGCTTTCTCTTGAACAAGTTTGATGACAAACAGTTCTGTTTCTTTTCTCTCTTCCAAACTTGTACTTTCTTTTGTCCTTTGTTTGTCTCCCTTGCATTCCTTAACCTTTCTTCTCAGGGTTGCAAGTGCTCTTATCAATCGGGACCATTCTGAGAACTTTTCAAATTTGTTGAGAATAGTCTGCTCTTCTTTTGCATTGGTGGTACACACAAAAGCTTTGCGAAGTTCTGGGTCATTTTCCTTGACCTCTCCCACCTTCATATCTCTAGCAGGAATGTTCCTCTCCCAGAGAAATGCTGGTCCCTTAAACCAATTGGAGTACTTCAATTGTTCTGCAGTTAAGCCTCGAGAAGCGTAGTCTGCAGGGTTTTGCTCTGATGGGATGTACGACCATTGTTCTGGCCTTGTGCTTGACTTGATCCTTTGAATGCGATTAGCTACGAACACTTGAAACCTTTTGGCATCATTATTTATGTATCCGAGAACAACAGTGGAATCTGTCCAGAAAAACTCTGTAATGTCTGGGATTTCAAGCTCTGCCCCGAGTAGATCACTGACTCTAACTGCAACAACTGCAGCTGAGAGTTCGAGTCGAGGGATGGTCATGACAGCAGTGGGTGTGACTCTTGATTTTGCCATCACTAAGCAACAATGGACTTCATCTGATTTGTTAATGATTCGCAGGTAAGTACATGCACCATATCCATTGACACTGGCATCTGCGAAGTGATGAAGTTCGAAGCTTTTNTGATTTAGCCGGGGTTTCGCCTGGAGGGCTCTATAGAAATCTGGCAACCTATTGAACGGAGTTGAACTGAGAGAGCGTGCCGTTCACAGACACCAGAATGAACGAGTTCACAATAACGTTTATCAGGCAGTAATACAGTACGCTTAGTTCACGTTTGCCCAAAATATGGACGAGTTCATTTAACTTTCATTCAATGAATGCGTTCAGGCACAACACTGCCTACAAGGCTACAGAGTCTCTGGGTGAGAGGAGTTGTAGGTTGTCATTTTGGAAGAAAGGTCAGACTCCTTTAGCCTCATGGTTTAGAACAGGCATCCCCAAAGTCGGTCCTCGAGGGCCGCTGTCCTGCAGGTTTTCGAGCTTTCTCTGCTCCAGCACAGCTGGTTTTAATTGAAAGTTTATTAACAGGCTTTTGCTCAACTGCAATCATCATAATCAGCTGTGTTAAAGTAGGGAAACCTCTAAAACCTGCAGGACAGCGGCCCTCGAGACCGACTTTGGGGATGCCTGGTTTAGAAATGATTCTGTTTTCCTCCACTGTCTGTAACTTATTTTTTGGTTATCTGTATATGAAAAACTTTCACATCTTTTCTAAGGCTGTAAGTAGTTAGTGAAATCCTATGTGACCAGAACAGACAGGAATATAAGCAACACTTTATCTGTCCTCCCTTGGTAGAAATAGAATAACATTTTGTTTTAAATGAGAAACATTGAAATTAAATTTCTTGTTAGATATGACTTAGACATTTCATTGATGTATTTATTTCAATTATTTATTTAGAGCTCCATTATCCACAGCCATTGCTTGAGTCTAACATAAGGTAATGCATATAAAGTTGCATTAAACCAAAATGATCATTACAGTTCACAATTCACAATATAAAAGGATGAATTTACACCTGACCAAGATGGTCATTTTTATTCACAGTTCATGTTATGAAAATTCAAATTCTTAAAAAAACAAGACGGTCATTGGATTCCCTACTATCAGCAATATATCCATATTAATTTAACCATAAAGAAACACATTTACATCATAGAGAAACAAAATAAAACACATTTATTGGTACGTAATCTACTGACAACTTTTCTGGATCAGCAGATCATATTCAGCTCAAAACCATCAGCTGAACTCAATCTCTGGCCTTTCTGAAGAATTAACTTCTTCCTGCTTTTAATTAAAAGAACTGTGGGAAATATATTCCACTCATATATTCCCCTATAGATGGATGTTATTTTCATGTGGTTAGTTGCTACTTCAGGTAAAATAAATCTGTTTGCAGAAGCATGTCTATCAGCATAACAATGAATATCTGAGCTAAACAGTAGATTCTGGGAAAATGTTAAAGGAATCATGACAGAAACATTCCTGAAAAAAAAAAAGACAGAATTTTTAACCAGTGCAATTATGTAGTTGAATTTTTATCTATTTTTTTATTTTATTTAAATTGAACAACAACAACAAAAAACGTCTGTAAAAATTAAAAATTAAAGAAATCAGGTGCATAAATTCCACTCTTTAAAACAGGAAAAATTAAATATTGAATAATAAATATTGTGCTTCAGCACAGAAAGACAAAGCATTTATTTAAAGATTTACATTTTCAGGGAGGATTTTACCAAAAGTTTGATTCAGATTTTTATTAGATTCCCAACTTAAACCAGACAGCCACATGTTTAACTCCTGCAGCCCAGTTAGTTGTTCTCTCCCACTCGCATTCCAACCTTCAACTGTACTGGTTTCCAGCTGGTTTCCAGGTCTGACAATGCAGCATTTAACTAACCTGCTGGGAAGGAAAGCAGCAACCTCTGCACAGCCTCTTAGCTCCTTTGCTTCCTGAATTCATCATCAACATTCAGAAGCTTGACTGATGTTCATCCTCAGTTTTCATATTGTTTGAATCTTAGAAATGCAGCATCTAGAAACAGCCATTTCTCAGCTCTATGATGGAGCTACTAGGGTCTGGCAACACCTGAGCTCCATTTGATGAGGTTTCAAACTAATAATTTTATTGGAGCAGAATCCTTTTATGTTGATGTTGACATCATAACCAGGGATAAATGTTTATTTATTTTGGATCCATTAAATTTTTATAGAAAATTTTTTAGAATTTATTTACTACATTGTCTGATCAATCAAGGCTTTAGTATCTAGTTGATATTTTCTTGCCTATTTGCTGGTATATCCAGCTGATCCAGAATGCTGCTGCCTGCATCCTCACTATAACTAAGAAAGTGGATAACATCAGCCCAGTTCTAAAGTCCTTCCTCTGGCTCCCCGTATCTCAGAGAATAAACATCCTTCTGTTGGTCTAGAAATCAATGAATGGCTGAGCTGCTAAATACCTTACAGACTGGTTGGCAGGTGGTCAACAGCCAGACCTCTCAGGTCTACTGGATCTAATTTACTCTGCAGAACCAGAACCAAACATAGAGAATTAGCTTTTAGTTCTTATTCTCCACTAATCTGGAATAAACTCCCAGAAAACTGGAAAAGAGCTGAAACCATCAGTTGCTTTAAATCTTTAGATTTAGAGCAGCCTTTGACTGAACCATCTAAACATTATTAGTTTTAGTCTCTTTTCATATTTCATCAATTCTTTTATTATTCTCTTGTAATTTTCCCACAATGTGTTTTTCCCTGTGTGTTTTCTTACCATAAACAGCCCTTTGAATCATCGTTCTACTGAAATGTGACGTATAGATAAACTTGTTCTGCCTCGTCTGACCAGAACCTGCAGAAC